TTAAGTCACGAGCATTTTTTGCACGGTAATGCTGTGTGAAGGGTTGTAAACACCCATTTTCCGTTTATTTAATTTGGAATAAACCACTAGAAATGATAAAATCTATGATTACAGGCAATGATTAAGAAATTTTGTAAGACAATATGGTCATTTCGATTTAACGTTTTAAAATATCGTAAACGTTTACCGTTTAAACGTGTAATTGTGGGGGCCTTACAGGTTGCTACTGAAGACACTAAATGATGGCAAGAATGGAAGTCACTGGTTGCTAAGGATGTCACTGGTTGCTATGGAAATCAATGCTTGTTAAGGGAAATTATTGGTTGCTATGAAAAAGCACTGACTATTGAAAGTCAATGGTTGCTTTGGAAGTCACAGGTTGCTAAGGAAAGTCAGTGATTGCTTTATAAAGTGAATGGTTTCTAAGGAAATTAAGTCAATGGCTGCTATGGACATCACTGGTTCCTGTGGAAAGTCAATGATTCCTATGAAAGTCACTGGTGGCTTTGGAAAGTCAAAGGTGTCTATGTATGTCACTTGTTGCTAACGAAAGTAAATTACTGAGATTTGGTGGAATGTCAATAGATGCTATGGAAGTCACTTGTTGCTAAGGAAACCAATGGTTTATGTAGTCAGTAGTTGCTAAGGAAAATCAATGGTTGCTATGGAAGGAAAATGGTTTCTTAGGTAGACAGACGTTTCACTATTTGGACGATTCACACCAAGACGGTTCACACCAAGACGTTTCACTCCTTCTTTATGCCAAAATTATTCTGATACTTGTGTTATACTAAAATATACCTTAAATTTAATAATTATTAAATTAGAAAACTTAAAGGGGATAAATTTTCACTTTGACTCAGTACTTTAAGTTTGTATATCATAATTGTTAAAGTTTATTTAGCTATTTTTCTTGATTTGATCATCAAATATAATTTATGTATATCCTATTATCTGATTTAAAATATTATTTTACTTTTTGTTATATATTAAATACAAAACTTTTAGATAAATTTTTGTTCCCAATACCTTTTTTATATGTGGCTGTTGTCTCAAAACAATTTTAATAGCCCAATGAACAACTGATAAGTAAACTGTTGATGCTTATACAACTGATTTAATAGTGATGTCAAACTGTTAGTTTATGGTCTCAGTGTTTATGGTTTTGTATGAAAAATATGATGCTCAAATTAAGATTTATCAATATTGTAAGTTCCAAACAGCATTATTTATAAAGATATTACCAAATTTAACATTTCATGTAAATAAAGGGAGGTATAAATTAGAAATTTGTTTTCTATAAATTCTAATAAGAAATGAATGCATATAATTTAATGATTACATTTAATATGTTCAAATATTTGCAGTACATATTTAACATATTCTTCGATGTTTGAAAAATTGTTGTATTAGCATAATTATATATATATACATATATAATTTCACGCAAGTGTGGTATACAACCACAATTACAAAACATACAGGATCTTTAATAAATTTTCATTTTTATGTTATTCTATTATCTTTTTTAATCTATTATAAATAGAATTTTCTCATGTGGTTAAAAAATAAAATTTTAGAAGTTTTTCTTTCATTTAAACCTCTCATCATTCAACCCATAATCAAATGAGTAATCTTCTAATAATTTACCATATGTCCTCATTGAAACCAATATATGCACTCCTTGCACCATAGTTTAGGGACCTTTCTGTTGAAAATGTGACAGATTTTTAAATCGTATAAATATACATGCACAGTGCGTTAACTGGAGCGCAGGTATTAGTTACCCGCACTCCAGAGCATGCCCATTGATTGGTTCATTTTGTCCGGGGTTTACATATTGTGACGACAGAGAAAGGGATAGCGATGGAAATATCATATTCAGATGCTCGTTCATTGGTTACTTTTTTGTACAAAACAGATAGCCTCGTGTTTCGATGCTCCTTCTATTACTTGTATCATAGTTTTGGGACCTTTCTGTTGAAAATGTGTAAGAGTTAAATCGTATACATATATATGCAAAGTGCGTTAACTGGAGTGCAGGTATTAGTTACTCGCACTCCAGAGCACGCCCATTGATTGGTTCATTTTTGCTGGGGTTTACTTATTGTGACGGCTGCGAGACAGAAATATGATATTCAGACGCTCGTTCATTGGTTACTTATTTTCTGGGGTTTCATAATGTGGCAACAGGGAACGTGTTTTTATGTTTGACAATGATACAAAAGAGAAAGAACACCAAAACACTCGGCAATCTGATTAATACTTGGGGGCTACGCCCCCTCGTACAAATCAGATAGCCTCGTGTTTCGATGCTCTTTCTATTACTAATAACATGAATAATTGAAAACACTGTTTAAACAGAACAAAATTCACTTTTCTGATACTATACTGTTTGCATTATATTATTTACACATTCTGTAACATTTCATAATTTGTTTTTCTTCAAATTCATAAATTCTTATTAACAATACCCTCAATATCAATAAAAATCAAACATAAAATTTGATTTCCCCTAAATATTAAATGAAAAACATATTTGTTCACTCTCCTAAATTATCATAAATATTTTTAAAAAATGGGAGTGACACGTCCATACAATTACAAATTAGGAGTGAAATGTCTAGGTGTGAACCGTCTTGGGACTATAACGTCTCAATAGTGAAATGTCTTGGGAGTGAAACGTCTGGCATTAGGTAGTCACTTGTTGCTTAGGGAAATCAATGGTGGTTAAGGAAAGTCAATGGCTGCCAAGGACATTACTGGCTCCTATTGAAAGTCAATGCTTCCTATAAATGTCACTGGTTGCTAGGGAATGTAAATTTGTTTATGGCTGCCTGTCCATGAAATTCATCCAATCTTATAACAAGTACTTTCTTTTAGAAAACCTTATTAATGATTAAGGCTTATCAACTTTAGTTTTCAGTCATACTGAGAAAGAACAACTGTACAGTTTATAACAAGAGCTGTCACAGGAGACAGCGCAGCTCGACTAATAAAATACTGGACGCAGAAAGGAAGACAATTAAGACTATGAAAGAAAAATCAATTATGTATAATTATGTATTAAGTTATAGTAAATAAATAACATTGTTAACATAAATTCCAAGATCAAGGGGAATAATTTCAGAAATCGTCACTTACATGAATATAGTTTTTGTCGAGGACCACCTTAGGATCACTCCTGTGAAATTTGGTCAAAATCCGTCCAGTGGTTAAGTAGGAGATGATTAAAGAAATTTTGGACAAAGACGGGCAAAAAAATGATCAGACACACTGCCATCAAAAAAGCTCACCTCTGAGCACAAACAGATGAGCAAAAAATACACATAAAGAAAATTGAAGATAAAAGAGGGATGTTATAAATATATTATTTTAAGATACTAAAACAGTAACATTTTTCAATATCTCAATATCTTTAAGATGAAGAATATCACATATTTAAACCAATATCTTAAAGATGAAGAATATCACATATTTAAACCAGTATCTTAAAGATGAAGAATATCACATATTTAAACCAATATCTTAAAGATGAAGAATATCACATATTTAAACCAATATCTTAAAGATGAAGAATAGCACATACATGTGTTTAAACCAATATCTTAAAGATGAAGAATATCACATATTCAAACCAATATCTAAAAGATGAAGAATATCACATATTTAAACCAATATCTTTAAGATGAAGAGAACCACACATTTAAACCATGCATTGTATGCCTGGGGCATCTCATAACCTATTGTATTACTTTTAGCTATTCTAAAGATATATTCTGTAAATCAAATTATCCTATATTTATTTCACAGCTGAATTGACAGTCAGGTATAAAGAACAATAAACTACTGTAAATTACTTCTCTCCAATTTTTACTATCTATTCTGGGCACTGCAGTAAAATACTCTAATGATTACATTAAAATAGCAAATAGTCTGGGGAATAAATAATGAAGAAAGTTCAGTAATCACACAAATTCTTGAAAACTGTTCTAAAACAAGAGACCTAAATTGGCCTGTAAGAGTCATCCTACATTCCCAAGGGCTGCAACATATTTCAGCTTAGCGGCATGATTTGTAATCTAAACAAGAGGGCCCAGAGGGCCCTGGATTGCTCACCTGAGAAATAGGTCAAATGGTCAAAGCGGAGCCCCTTTTCACCCAAGAAGCACAATTTGAAAACAAGGGACAGCTTAATCTGAAAAATTTTGTACACTGTCACCAAGAAAATTTTTTGTGTAAAATTTTTCAAAATTGAACCTGTGGCTATGATGTTGTTTAGATGTTGTTTTCTAATTTTAACTCTGGCAGCCATTTTATTAAACAGTTCAGCCTTGGTCCATCCACTAGAACATGTTTCATGCCAAATATCCAAGCTGTAGCTCTTTTGGATTTTCACAAGAAGATTTTTGACCCTAGGGCTTTTATTTGCACAAACTTGGTAGACATCCACTAGAACATGTTTCATGCCAAATATCAAATCTGTAAAATCTATAAAAGGAAAATCAATGATCCCTGATTCCAGGTCAATTTTGACCCTAGGGCTTTCATTTGAACAAACTTGGTAGACATCCACTAGAAGATGTTTCATGCCAAATATCTAATCTATAGTGCTTTAGGATTGTCACAAGAAGATTTTTAAGTTTTTACTATATATATAAGGAAAATCAATGACCACCCTGGGATTGGGTCAATTTTGACCCGAGGGCATTTATTTGAACAAACTAGGTAGACATCCACTAGAATATGTTTCATGCCAAATATCTAAGCTCTAACTCTTTTGTTTTTTTTACAAGAAGATTTTTAAGATTGTTTGTAAAATAATCTTTTGGTTGCCATGCCATAAAGAAATTGTTAAGATATGCATGGACAGACACACATACATAGAAGGATGGATGGCAGACAATGGTCCATCACAAAAGCTCACCTTGAGGGCATTGTCCTCAGGTGAGCTAAAAATACAGAATATCTGTACCTACAAAGGTAGATAATTTATTTACCTCCTGCTGCCCTTGGTGTTCTCCTTTTCCCATCTCTCTTTTCTCTACCAACATTAAATGCAGAACCTGTCTTCAATGCTTCTAGCAAATTATCCATAACACCTTCCTGGTTTTCATCTAAAAGTAAATATCAGTCCTACATTTTCTGTTATAAATAGCATCAACAATCAGGAAGAGGGTATAAACCACCTCAACAATCATTATCAGAGTATAAACTACATCAACGATCAGTATCAAAGTATAAACTACGTCAACGATCGGTATCAGAGTATAAACTACATCAACAATCAGTATCAGAGTATAAACTACATCAACAATCAGTATCAGAGTATAAACCACATCAACAATCAGTATCAGAGTATAAACCACATCAACAATCAGTATCAGAGTATAAACTACATCAACAATCAGTATCAAAGTATAAACTACATCAACAATCATTATCAAAGTATAAACCACATCAACAATCAGTATCAAAGTATAAACTACATCAACAATCAGTATCAGAGTATAAACTACATCAACAATCAGTATCAAAGTATAAACTACATCAACAATCAGTATCAGAGTATAAACTACATCAACAATCAGTATCAAAGTATAAACTACATCAACAATCAGTATCAGAGTATAAACTACATCAACAATCAGTATCAAAGTATAAACTACATCAACAATCAGTATCAAAGTATAAACTACATCAACAATCAGTATCAAAGTATAAACTACATCAACAATCAGTATCAGAGTATAAACTACATCAACAATCAGTATCAGAGTATAAACTACATCAACAATCAGTATCAAAGTATAAACTACATCAACGCTCAGTATCAAAGTAAAAACACATCAACAATTCATTATCAGAGTATAAACCACTCAACAATATCAGAGTATTAAACTAACATCAACAATCAGTATCAGAGTATAAACTACATCAACAATCAGTATCAGTAGTATAAAACTACATCAACAATCAGTATCAGAGTATAAACTACATCAACAATCAGTATCAGAGTAAAACCACATCAAACAATCAGTATCAGAGTATAAAACTACATCAACAATCAGTTATCACAGTATAAACTACATCAAACAATCAGTATCAGAGTATAAACTACATCAACAACAGTATCAACCAGTATAAACTACATCAAACAATCAGTAGTCAGCTAGTAATAAACTACATCAACAAGTCAGTATCAGAGTATAAAACTACATCAACATCAGTATCAGAGTATAAACTACATCAACAATCAGTATCAGAAGTATAAACTAACATCAACAATCAGTATCAGAGATAAACTACAAAACATCAGTATCAACTACATCAGTATCAAAGTAATAAACTACATCAACAATCCAGTATCAGAGTATAAACTACATCAACAATCAGTATCAAAGTATAAACCACATCAACAATCAGTATCAGAGTAATAAACTACATCAAGCAATCAGTATCGAAGAGTATAAACTACATCAACAATTTCCAGTATCAAGTAGCTTAAAACTACAATCAAAACTCCTTATCAAAGTATAAAACTAGCATCAACAATTCAGTATCAGAAGTATAAAACTACATCAACAATCAGTATCAGAGTATAAACATCACATCAACAATCCAGTATCAGAGTATAAACTACATTCAAACATCAGTATCAAAGTATAAAACTACAATCAACAATCAGTATCAGAGTATAAACTACAATCAACAACTCAGTTATCAAAGTATAAACTACATCAACAATCAAGTATCAGAGTAATAAACTACATCAAACAATCAGATCAGAGTATAATACTACATCAACAATCAGTAATCAAAGTATAAACTCACAAAAAATCAACAATCATTATAAAAGAAATAAACGACAAAAAATATTATAAAAGTAAAAAACTACATCAACAATCCAGTATCAGAGTTAATAACCCTACTACAATCATCAATAAAACAATCAGTATCAAGAGTATAGAACTACACCCAACAATAAGTATCAAATTTAAAAATTTACACCCCAAGTATAAACTACATCAACAACCCATATCAGTATACATCAAAAATCATATCAGTATAAACTACATCAAAAACCCAGTATCAGGTAAAAACCTTAAAACAATGAGTATCACGGGTAAAAAAACTACAATCAGATCAGAGTATAAAAAAACACCAAAAACCCCTTTTATCAGAGTAAAAAATTTACCCCACCCAATCAGTACCCTTTGAAAAAATACATAAAAATTAGTATCAGGATAAACTACATCAACAATAAAGTTTTCCAAAGTATAAACTACATAAACCCAATCAGTATCGAGTTTTTTTTAAACCCATCAACAACCCCAGTACAGAGTATAATTTAAAATCAACAATCATTATAAAAGTAAAAACCCACATAAAACAACCCAGTATCAGAGTAAAATTAAAATCAAACAATCGGGATCAGAGTATAAACTACTTTCAAAAATCATTACAAAGTATAAACTACATAAACCCAAAATCGCCCCCAAGAGAAATTAAAAACCACATCAAAAATCATTATAAAAGGGTCTAAACTACTCAACAACGTATCAGGTATAAACTACACCCAAAAACCCAGTACCCCAGAGTAAAAAAACCCACATCAACACCCCAGAATCAGTGTAAAAAACTACATAAACCCAATCAGTAATCAGAGTAAAAAACCAATCAACAATCATTATCAAAAGCAAAAACCACATCAAAACAGTAATCAGAGTAAAAAACACTCAAAAATCGTATCAAAAGTAAAAACTACATCAAAAAATCAGTATCAGGTATAAACTACATCAACAATCGGTATCAGAGTAAAAAACTAATAACAACCGAAACCCCAAAATTTAAAAAAACAAACATCAAAAATTCAGTATCCAAAGTATAAATTTTACATAAAACAATGGGAAGGGGTTTTTAAAAAACATCAAAAAACCCAGAATCAAAGTATAAACTCATCAACAAAAAGAAATCAGAGTAAAAACTCATCAAAAAATCAGTTCAAAATAAACAAACATCAAAACCCCAGTAAAAAAGTTTTAAACTAATAAACCCAATCAGTATCAAAGTATAAACTACATAAAACAATCAGTACCCAGAATAAAAATACATCAAACAATCAGAAATAAAAGAAATAAACTAATAAAACAATCGTATCAAAGTAAAAACTACATCAAAATCAGTTCGGGAGTATAAACTACATCAACAATAAATATTCGATTTAAAAACTACATCAAAAACCCCAGTACCCAAAGAAATTTAAACACCCCCCAAAAAATCAGAAATAAAAAGTATAAACCACATTAACAATAAATTTTAATCAAAATAAACTACATCAACAATCAGTTTTCAGAAAAATAACCCAAATCAAAAAATCAGAAATCGGGGTATAAACCACTCAAAAATCAGTTCAGAATGAAAAACCCCTCAAAAATCAGTATCAAAAATAAAAAACCTTTAAACAATCATTTATAGGGTAAAACCACACAAAAAACCCCAGTTCGGGTTTAAAAAAAAATCATCAACAATCGGGTCAGTTTGGCCTTATTAAGGTCAAAACATTATACACAATACTTTACATAAATAATGTATCAAATAATTTCTAAGCTCCATGTTTCAATATCTCATTTTACCAAACATTAATGTTACATTATCAATTTTATACAATAAGAATCACATATAAATTCAAGTTAATACCTGTGGTTATATCAACAAGTGCTCTCTGTCGTGCCTGTCTAGCATGCTTTTCTCGTTCAGCCTTTTCTTTGGCCTCTTTTGCTCGCTTGATCTTTTCTTGTGTCTCTCTTATTTTTCTGTTTTCTTGTACTGCATGCTGCACAAAGGTGAGAAAAAAATCTCCAACACATTAATTGTTCATACTGTTGGAGCATCACACAAGTATAGCAAATATTAGTTGTCTGAATCCCACTTGAAAATATTCATATTTTGATGGTTGTTCCAGTCAAATTGATTGTGTGTTGTTGGTATTTACTCATGCTGAAATTGGCCCTACTTCACCAGAAAACTTGTAGGTATACATGTATATTAAAACCATTTCTGATTACCAAAAAAAAACAACAACAAAAAAACAACTAGCATCATTTTTCACTTTTTCATTTATAAAACACATAACAAATTAAAATATGTGTTGCCCACTTTCTTAAAAAAATAAACAACTTCCAATTTTCCCAAAATTTAATTTAAAAAATCAACTTTCAAACATATAAAAAAAAAACCTTTCAAAAATCCAAACTTTAAAAAACTTGAAAATTTCCAAAAAAATTCCCCCCCACAAATGTATTTTTTTAGATCAAAACCCGTTTTGTTTCTTTGCTAAAGTTTTATACTGGCTATCTTTAAATTGGGGTTTTTACATTGGTTTAATAAATTAAACTGTTCCTTTAGCTGACCCAAGGAATACGTGAACCTTTGTTAAGGAAAAAATCTAAAAAATAAAGGGATGAAAAAAGAAAAAATTGTCCGATGAACACATTTTTTTAGAAATATTTTGATTTTTAAAATTAAAAAACAAAAAACTAGCTTTTAAATTTTTTTGATAAATTTTAAAGGGAAATAAAATTAGGCAAAAAGAAAACCATATTTTCAGGAAAAACATCTTAACACGCTTTTTAAAAAACCCCGCATTGACCAAAGTTTAAATATATTAAATTTAAATCATGTTTCTATAAATGAATTTTTCCCTACAAACAATATTAATGGCATACTAAATAAAGTATAAAACTTGTTTGGGGTTTAAAGAGAACTAATGTTTTTATATATTTAAAAAAAACAGGGCAATGTTCCCCAAATCTTGTGTTTAAAAGTTTTTTCCCAATTTTTTATAAAAACTAATTGTCCTTTATTCATTTTAATTGTTTAAGTAAGTTTTTTTAATTTTGAAACTTTTATCATTTTGAAGGAAAAACATATTATTCGAATTTTATTTTTTGGTTAACCCTTTATTAAACCCCTGGGATTTAAAAATACAAACTAAATACCCAAAAACTTTTGTTTTTTTTTAAAATTTTTAAAAAAGTAAATATCTTTTATCCTGTGGAACCCCTTAAAACATAAGAACTAAAACGCCTGCCAAAAATTCTTAAGGGGCACATTTAAAAAATGATTGCTTGGGGAAATTTTCCCTCAAAAAACTACTGTATGGAATGGAAGCCCGATGTTAAAATACAGAAACTGTTTTGGGTAATTTAAAAGATAATAGACTGGACATCAGGGGATTAACCAAAAACCAAAAAAAAATGGGAAATTTTCAAAAATAGCCTTTCCTCAAAATTGAAAACTGACAAAGAATTTAAAGAAAAAAAATTTAGCAACAAAAAGATAAGCAGTCAAATTTTTTACCCTTTTTTCTTTGCAATTTTTAGGGGAAAAATACATAAATTCATGGTAAAAACTCTTTTTTAATAATATTTTTCTCTTAAATTTTAAATGCAAAAAAAATTTAAAATTGGGGTTTGGAAATAATCAAAAAATTTTAATTTTAACCCCGGGATTTCCCTACAAAGTAAAATGAGGTCCAGTTTTTGTTTTATCATTTAAAAACTGTATCCCTAACTAAATGCAGGTAAAATTTTATTATATCATTTATACTGTATTCCCTACTCAATGCAGGTCAATTTTGTTCTATTGCATTTAAAAAACTGTAATCCTCTACTAAATGCAGGTCAATTTAATTCTATCATTTATACTGTATCCCCTACAAATGCAGTCCAATTTTTATTCATCATTTAAAAAACTGTATCCCTACTAAATGCAGGTAATTTTTTATTCTATCATTTAACACGTACTCCTACCTAAATGCCAGGTCAAATGTTTTAATTCTCAATCATTTAAAACGTATCCTACTAAAATGCAGGTCAATTTTTTATTTATTCATTTTATACTGTATTCCCTTACTAAATGCAGCGTCAATTTTATTCTTCATTTTAGAAACTGTACTCCTTACAAATGCAGGTCAATTTTATTCTATCATTTGTAAACTGTATCCCTACTAAAATTGCAGTCAATTTTATTCTATCATTTAAACTGTATCCCTACTAAATGCAGGTCAATTTTATTCTATCATTTAAACTGTATGCAGGTCAGTTTTATTATATCATTTATACTGTATCCCTACAAGAAAATGCAGGTCAGTTTTATTCTATCATTTAAACTGTATCCCTACTAAATGCAGGTCAATTTTATTCTATCATTTAAACTGTATGCAGGTCAGTTTTATTCTATCATTTATACTGTATCCCTACAAGAAAATGCAGGTCAATTTTATTCTATCATTTAAACTGTATCCCTACTAAATGCAGGTCAGTTTTATTTTTATCATTTATACTGTTATCCCTACTAAATGCAGGTCAAATTTTATTCTATCATTAAACTGTATCCCTACTAAATGCAGGTCAATTTTATTCTATCATTTTAAACTGTATGCAGGTCAGTTTTATTCTATCATTTATACTGTATCCCTACTAAATGCAGGTCAATTTTATTCTATCATTTAAACTGTATGCAGGTCAGTTTTATTCTATCATTTATACTGTATCCCTACTAAATGCAGGTCAATTTTATTCTATCATTTAAACTGTATCCCTACTAAATGCAGGTCAATTTTATTCTATCATTTATACTGTATCCCTACTAAATGCAGGTCAATTTTATTCTATCATTTAAAACTGTATCCCTACTAAATGCAGGTCAATTTTATTCTATCATTTATACTGTATCCCTACTAAATGCAGGTCAATTTTATTCTATCATTTAAAACTGTATCCCTACTAAATGCAGGTCAATTTTATTCTATCATTTAAAACTGTATCCCTACTAAATGCAGGTCAATTTTATTCTATCATTTATACTGTATCCCTACTAAATGCAGGTCAATTTTGTTTTATCATTTAAAACTGTATCCCTACTAAATGCAGGTTAATTTTATTCTATCATTTAAACTGTATGCAGGTCAATTTTATTCTATCATTTAAACTGTATCCCTACTAAATGCAGGTCAGTTTTATTCTATCATTTATACTGTATCCCTACTAAATGCAGGTTAATTTTATTCTATCATTTAAACTGTATGCAGGTCAGTTTTATTCTATCATTTAAACTGTATGCAGGTCAGTTTTATTCTATCATTTAAACTGTATGCAGGTCAGTTTTATTCTATCATTTATACTGTATCCCTACAAGTTAATGCAGGTCAATTTTATTCTATCATTTAAACTGTATCCCTTCTAAATGCAGGTCAGTTTTATTCTATCATTTAAACTGTATCCCTACTAAATGCAGGTCAGTTTTATTCTATCATTTAAACTGTATCCCTACTAAATGCAGGTCAATTTTATTCTATCATTTGAACTGTATGCAGGTCAGTTTTATTCTATCATTTATTCTGTATCCCTACAAGTTAATGCAGGTCAGTTTTATTCTATCATTTAAACTGTATCCCTACTAAATGCAGGTCAATTTTATTCTATCATTTAAACTGTATCCCTACTAAATGCAGGTCAGTTTTATTCTATCATTTAAACTGTATCCCTACTAAATGCAGGTCAATTTTATTCTATCATTTAAACTGTATCCCTACTAAATGCAGGTCAATTTTATTCTATCATTTAAACTGTATCCCTACTAAATGCAGGTCAATTTTATTCTATCATTTATACTGTATCCCTACTAAATGCAGGTCAATTTTATTCTATCATTTAAACTGTATCCCTACTAAATGCAGGTCAATTTTATTCTATCATTTAAACTGTATCCCTACTAAATGCAGGTCAATTTTATTCTATCATTTAAAACTGTATCCTACTAACCCGTCCCTAGATTTGCCACTACTTGCCAGCTATTTCCACTGAAAAGGGTGGCATTAAGTGTAAAAAGGTGGAAATTAACTGGAAAAATGACAAAATTCCACTCTTTTTTGCCACTGTAGTGCCACTATCCTTTGGTTCCACTGTAGTGT